GGGGGGGGGGGGGGGGGGCGTTGTATGTGAGAAGGTCCACAACGTCAGAGAAATTACATGAGTTAGCCAGGATGGTGAGAAGGCGAACTTCACCACTTACCCCAACAGCAGATTGGTGACAAATAGCCAGCCCCATGACCCTAAAATGTAACAGAACTAGAAAAATAATTCCAGATCATCTCATGGATTCTCAATCTAAATTATCATCAGATTTTTGGCATTATAGCAAAATAAGGTCTATATACACTGGATATTCCCACATCCTATTTCTAATAGTTATAACAATATCTGAGAATGATGAATGCCACATTTAAAAAAATATATATTTTGATTAATTTCAGAGAGGAAGGGAGAGGAAGAGAGAGATAGAAAATCAATGATGAGAGAGAACCATTGATCACCTGCCTCCTGCATACCCCACACTGGGGATCGAGCCCACAACCCAGGAATGTGCTCTGACCGGGAATTGAACCGTAACCTCCTAGTTCATAGGTTGGTGCTCAACCAACTGAGCCACGCTGGCTGGGCAAATGCCACATTTTGTGAGCACTGGAAACACAAGTGATTATCTATGATCGAGATTTACATAGTCCTGCCCTGGCCAGTGTGGCTCAATTGGCTGAGTATCATCCCATGCACCAAGAGGTTGCTGGTTCAATTCCTGGTCAAGGGCACATGCCCAAGTTTTGGGCTGGATCCCTGGTAGGGAGCATGTAGGAGGCAGTCAATCAATGTTGTGTTCTCACATCCATGTTTCTCTCTCCCTCTCCCTTCCTCTTTCTAAAAGTCAACAAACTATTTAAAAAAGAAGAAGAAAAAAGAGACTTAGATAGTCCTGAAAAGCATCATTTAATTAGACCTTGAAATAATTACTCTCATATCATCTCTTTAAGAATGTAGATGACGGTCCTTCAGAAATGAAACTCTGGTATAAAAGTTACCAATTTTAAATATCTAAACCAAACATAATCCTTCTCTGAAAGAAATTATGTCAAAACTAGTATTGACTCCAAAAGTGGTTGAAGGTATATGGCTGTATGTGTACATAAACGAAAGTACAATTTTTGTTGTTACTGGTTTTGTAGGAAGATGGATGGACAAGGAAAGTAGATTAGAATTAAATAGAAATTGTAAGCAAACCAATGTTCTATGAATGGGCTCAATCCTGGCCACTGAATACTATCAGGAAAAGAAAAAGAAAGCATAACTAGAAAAGATACAATGCCCTCCCCATAATTATAAATTAAAGTGAAAATAAAATCTGAGTCAATACAGGACTATCCATGACCTTTATTGACTCAGATTTTATTATACATTTAAAAGTACACATACACATCCTTTTTTAGTCACAAACACTGGGGAACATTCAGAACTTACTAGTGCCTGGGTCGAGCTCTGTCAAGTCATCCTGACAAAAACCTAAAGAGAAAACAATAGGAAAAGAAGATTGTGATTTGTGAATTACTCCAATGTGGCACCAAATATAAAAATGCAAATATCACATAGTATTTTTTAAAATCCAGACTCAGAAGTCAAGTTTGAATTTAAATCTTAGTTCTGTAACTTTAGCTAATATATATATATTGCTCTCTGAACTTCCATTTCAGTACCTTTATATAAAAAAATGGATAGTAACAGCACTTACCAGAATGAGGATTAAGTGAAATCTATATCCTATCTAATAATAGAAAAACATGGTAATTAACTGTAACTTCGCTACCGTTCCCATTGGCTAATCAGCAAGATATGCAAATTAACTGCCAACCAAGATGGTGGCCAGCAGCCAGGCAGCTGAAGCGAACATGAGGCTTGCTTGCTCCAGTGATGGAGGAAGCCAAGGAGCTCCAGATGCAACAATGTTATAATTATAGAAGCTAAACAAACCCAGAAACCTGCTTTCAGCCATCCGCAGGCTCAGAGCTTAGAGCACCAGTGATGGCAAGAGAATCCCCTCATCCAGGCTGGCCAGGCACCCAAGCGGGACCCCCACCCTGATCCGGGACACCCTTCAGGGCAAACCAGCCGGCCCCCACCTGTGCCCCAGGCCTCTATCCTATATAGTAAAAGGGTAATATGCAAACTGACCCTAACAGCAGAAAGACTGGGAATGACTGGTCACTATGACACACACTGACCACCAGGGGGCACATGCTCAATGCAGGAGCTGCCCCCTGGTGGTTAGTGTGTTCCCACATGGGGGAGCCCTGCTTAGCCACAAGCCGGGCTGATGGCTGCCAGTATAGTGGTGGTGTTGGGAGCCTCGCCTGCCTCCTCAACAGCACTAAGGATGTCTGACTGCAGCTTAGGTCTGCTCCCCGCTGGCAAGTGGGCATCCCCGGAGGGCTGCCGGGCTGCCAGAGGGATGTCTGATTGCCAGCTTAGGCCCAATCCCCCGGGGAGCAGGCCTAAGCCAGCAAGTGATCACCCCCGAGGGGTCCCAGACTGCAAGAGGGCACAGGCCGGGCTGAGGGACCCCCTCCTACCCCCAAGTGCACAAATTTTTGTGCACCGGGCCTCTAGTATATATATATAAAAGCCCAGCAACTGGAAAGACAGAATGACCAGAACGACTGACCAGTACTGCAACAGACAACCAGTCTGATCTGGGCCCTGATCAGATCTCCCCCAGCACCAATCCAGCCCCCAATCAGCCCCCAACACCCCGATTGGGGGCAGGGCTAGCTGGCCAACTGCCCGCAGCCCCTAACCCCCGCCGGCCTGGCCTGATGGGGCCCCATCCATGCACGAATTCGTGCACCAGGCCTCTAGTACTGATATAAAGTGCTTCATTAGCACAGCCCTTGGCACACAGTAGCAACTCAATAAACAGCACAAATAATTATGAGTAAAAATATAAGTTGGAATAAAAATTCATGGGAAAATTACAATTCACTTAATATCTGTCATGTTCTACTTAGCATTATCAATTATTATCCAAAAGAAAGCAAAATATACAAAATATGAACTTACAACAGATATCAAACAGAATAATTTTATTTAAAATGTTTACAAATGCTTAAGAATTTTACCCATACACATAAATGGAAGCAGTTTTTTATTATTAAGTGTGGTATTCAGGTTAGAAGAAATACCTCTCAAAGAGGATTTCAAGCCCAAAAGGCCTGAGCTACATCTGTCTGATTGGTGTGTAACTATCACACTGAAAAGAAAAATCAAGCACAGCGAATGGCAAACACAAAGTAAGTGTTCTATATATAGTTGTTAAAATACTTTTTTTAGTCAATTCTCCTATATTGACTGCCTACTTTCTCCAGTTTGCTTTCTAATCATCATCAGTTCACATATTTCTTAGAAAAGCTTTTTTTCTTTTGTCTTCCTTACCCTTGTCTCAAAACGTCAAAACCCCATTACAATTTTCTATAATACTCTGTCTACTTGTTAACAAGGAATTAATTGCTTGTTCAATGTCTGACTGGCTCCACTATCAGAATGTTCCACAGGGGAAGGGAGCTGGCCTGTCTTGTTGACCGCTATATTTTCATTACCTCTCACAAGTCTAGCACAAAGTAACTGTTCAATAAACATCAACTGTAGCATCTCAATGGTAAATTCAAAAATTATGGAGCAAAACTAAGACTAGAGGAATATGAGAGCATTTTCTTTCTTTCTTTTTTTTTTCTGAGAGCATTTTCTATCATCACAGCTGGGCAACCAGAAGCTAGTCTAGCAAATGGGAGTCAGGTTAAGAAGAGGGATTCAACTAGCAGGTAAAGTGTTTAAACATCACAACTTTGAAAGTCCTTTGCAATCCTGAACATTTTGAGCACACCATTTACCAAACACGCTACATCCCTTCCTGCCTTCCTGTGCTTCTTCCTCCACCTCCACTTGGTAAACTATTCATCCTTCAAGACCCAGCTCAAAGACCATCACTGTGAAAGATAGAAAAAAGGAAAGGTCCCTCCTATATTCATCAAAAGATAAAGGAACAAATTAATATCTGCCTCTTCTACTAGAAAATGAGCTCTTCAAGGGTAGGGACCATGCCATATCCACCTGCGAAGCTTCTTCTATGCCTAGAACAGTTGCTGATACATTATGGAAGATGCTCAAATGCAGATGAACTAAATAGAAAACACAAGCCTGCCTCTAGATCAGTCTGGGGAAGACAGTCACAGAATCAGAAAGTCTAGCCCTAAAAGTGTGTGGAAGCTATAAATGAGAAAATCTGATCTGAAACACCAGAGTTTAGAAGCTGCTAAAAGTGACTGAGATGATGAAAAGGCTCACCTCAGAGCAACTATAAAGCCTTTCTACATAAAGACACTGGGAATCAAGAAAGCTGTGGAGAGATGCCAGGTAATGAGGAAATAACTCATCATTCCACATAGGTTCAATATTAAACATCTTGCCAGAAGTAAAACTGAGAATAAACACTGATTTAATATAAACTGACTCAAAAATAGGACAAAAGGACTGGAAGACAGAGTAGTATAATGATAAAATTGTACCTCTCCTAATTCTAGTCCAAATCATTTTTAGCTTAGTTATTTGACTTCAAGCAAGTCATGCCCTATTCTGGACCTCAGATTCTGGACATTAAATGAAAGGACTCTACTAGAGTATGAAGGAAGAACAAAGCCCAGTGCATTTTTTAAAATATTTTATTTATTTATTTCAGAGATGAAGGGAGAGGGAGAGATAGAAACATCAATGATAAGAGAGAATCATTGATCGATTGCCTCCTGCATGCCCCCGCACTGGGGATGGAGCCCACAACCTGGGCATGTTGCCCGACCAGGAATCGAACTGTGACCTCCTGGTTCACAGTTCGATGCCCCACCACTGAGGCACACCAGCTGGGCCCAATGCATTTTTTTGAAAACAAACAACGTTCTGAACTCAGAGTAACTAGATAAAATACAAAGAAAAGGTGACTAAAAAAAAAAGAAAATCCTAAGAATAGTTAAACTGGCTGGCCATCTATTGCTTTTATCTGCCTAGCAACCATGCCCCCTTCTTCTGTTAATGGCATCCTGATTTTTCTTTGGAGACTTATCCCTTTAACACTTTCAGTCCATAAGACCCAAGAAGGATGGATCCTAACCTTAATAAATAGGGATTAACAACAGCATCTACCTTACAGGTCTGTCAAATGAGATAGTGAATGTAAAGGCTTTGCACAGTATTTGACAAAGTCAGAGCTCAACATATTTGAGCTATTGCTAACTAATCCCTAGGGATAATCCAATCCAGTGCTGTGTCTGTGGTAGCAAAGGGCGTATTATAGGAGGGTAACTATTGACCTATTCATGATGTCACCTTCAAAGACCTGGGATGAAACATCACTAATGTCACTTTAGTATATACTATAATTTTATTTATTTACCTGAGTGTGTATCAGTGAGTGTGTGTGTGTGTGTGTGTGTGTGTGTGTGTGTCAGAGAGAGAGAGAGAGAGAGAGAGAGAGAGAGAGAGACTTTAATTTGTTGTTCCACTAATTTATGCATTCGTTGGTTGCTTCTTTGATGTGCCCTGACAAGGGATGGAACCTGCAACCTGGGCATATCGGGACGACACTAACCAGCTGTACTACCCAGTCAAGACCATGCTGTGATTCTTGAATCCTTTTTATATGTTGAGACTGTAAATTACTTGATGCCATGATCCCAGGTATATGCTACCTCCTGAGGAAAGGAGGACTCTTTATATTTGCCTTAAAACAAATTCCTTTCATAGTCACAAAGAGCACTGATTATGGAATTCGGTAAGTATGTCTAAAATCTACCCACCAGCCCTGAGACCACTGGCTAATAATGTTGTCTCTGGTTTTACAGATCACCATTAGAGCATGAGGCCTGAGAAGATATGGAGAACAATGCTAATCCCACCTCCTGGTGATAAAGTCCATGGAATGGCTAGATCTGGTGACCATCCTCAGGATCTCACCCAGATTCTCAGGAAACAGATCAAGCTAGCAAAATGATTCCTAACTAGAAGAATGCAAATCACTGCTAGATGTAGCCCCAATGTGTGTTCAATTTAATTCAACACAAAGGCTATCAGAGTTGTTCAGTAAAAAGCAGACTCCTAAGCCACATAAATACACAAACATACTCACAAAACCATCTGCCTTACAGATTACAACACATTAAACAGATTAGGAAATATTCTGAAAAATCCAGGGCCTTGGCTGTTGACTTAAATTACTGTAAAATGGGATAAACAGATATATCAACAAGTCAGCATGCTCGTAAGTCATCTAAAATCTAGTGCAAAGTTTATATTCACTTACCACATTTTAACTTAGAAGACAGATGCCTGGTGAAAAGGACATTGGTCTGAGTTAGAGTTGGATTCAAATCCCAGATTTTCCACTATCTTTGTTTAATTAACTACTTTATGCCTAGTTCCTGAAATGGGGCAAAAATAATCATCTTGTTCAATATGCATTTGGAGACTATACAAAAATCACCTACTTGGTGGAAAGTGATCGATAAGTCTAGGAAATTTCTTTAACTCAAAGAAAGATCCAGTTGACAAGCTTTTCTCCAATAGGCATTTGGCAAAAAGAAAAATATCAGTGACTCCTCAATCTGTGAATACAATGACAGGTTAAAAAGTTACTTATCTTTTTCTTTATTTACTATTTTGACTATAAAAGTATGTATTTACACAGAATAATTTTAAAATTTGAGTACCCTTTTCTTTTTTATAAATGTGAACAAATTTTATGGGTAATGCCAGTAAACAAATTCAAGCCTGAAGCACTAGCTAATTGTAATCTACAATGTGTCTTTTACAAAAATAGTTAAATGTTATTCTAGGAATGTTTTAAATTAATTTGACAGTAGGAAGGTAGCATGGTTTAATAAAGACCTGGATCCTGGTCAGGGATCGACAACCACTCAGTCTATTTTGAAGCCTTAGCAGCCCACAGTTCAAAATTAAGGTGAGGCCCTTAAAAGGTAAAATTCTACAACTGTAATAAAAAACCATCTTTCCACCAAACAGGAATTATACACACAAATATCCTTCATGATCTGCCACTCCAACTTTATCTCTTGCTTCTCATCCTACCCACCCTACAGTGTAGTAGTATATACTCCATCCATACTGAACAACAGGCATATGTTTTATTGCACTTTGCTTTATTGAGCTTCAGAAAGGTTGCCCTTTTTAGAAATTGAAGGCAAGACCCCACACACAGACCAGTAAAAAGATCATGACTCGTTTTATTGTGATGCTCGCTTTATTGTGGTGCTCTGGAACCAAACCAGCAATATTTCCGAGGTATGCCCGTACAATTAGCTCCCTGAATTCAACATCTTCTTTGGCCTCCATTCATTTGCACATACTATTTTTTCCACCTGAGCCAACTCTCATTCACCATTCTGATGTCAGGACTCAGGTCAAGTTTCTAACCCTTCCCCCTCTCTCCCCACACACAATCAAGTCCAAGTTAGGCACTACAGATACAATAACTGAAGCTACTGGATTTTCAGGAACCTTTGAAAAAAGAGGAAAAAAAACTGGTTTTAAAATCCAAGGAAAGTAAAACAGACCTGCAAATTTGAAATTAAAATGTTTTACTAGTAATTAAATATGAGGTATAATATTATTTCATCCAGTCAACTATAATTCAAGTTTTATATACTGTAATTTTAAATGTGAGATATAAAATGAAGCAGAGGTTCCAGAAGGAAGTCAAGGTTCTAAAAGGATTTTGAAACTGCTCTGGTGTAGGCATCCCTACACTATGCTCCCACAGTTCCCTGTGCTTCCCATAACACCGATCATGCTCAGGGCCACTGATTGTGAATTCAGATTCTAGAGAGAGTTGTTTTCCATAATCACCAACAAAAAGCTAAAAATCTTTACCCAGGATTTGTACTGATATACAACAGTCATTCACTGGTCTTTTCTGGACCAACCAGCTCTGGTCATTTGTATCAGTTTCCCATTTGCTTTGTCTCCCCTAATTATGATAGGTCCCCAATGAAATTCTGTGTCCTTCTTTCAGTCAGATCTGGTCTCAGCCTTATCTATATCTACAGTCCCAGGGCTGAAACATGTCCCAGGATCCAGGAAAAATTGCTCAGTAAATGTTGAGAAATTACTTCTTTCTCCAGAAAGCAATAGTACTACATCACTATGAATTTCTTGCAAAAATATCAGTTCTAAGAGAAAATAACAGTTCACTATTCTCTGCCTTTAAAGTCTAGAAAGAGTGATATCCAATAGAAATTCCTACAGCGGAAATGTTCTTTGTCCAATATGGTAGGCCTCTAGCCACATGTGGGTACTGAGCACTTGGAATGTGCATACTGTGTCTGAGGAACTGAATTTTGTAAAAAGTATTTTTACTGATTTTTGGTGAGAGAGGAAGGGAGAGGGAGAGAGACAGAAACATCGCTATGAGAACAAAACATCAATCAGCTGCCTCCTGCACGCCCCCTATGGGGGAGATCAAGCCCAAAACCCGGGCAAGAATCCAACCTGTGACTTTTCAGTACACAAAAGGATGCACAACCAACTGAGCCACACTAGCCAGGGTGAGACGCTGAATTTTTAACTTTATTTAATTTTAATTAATTAAGGTAGTCACATAAGGCCAGGGGCTATTACAAAGGACAAGGTAAAACTAGAAAGAAGTCTTCCATTCCGCTAAATTTGTTATGTCACCTTTTGGACTCTGTTGCAACTTTAAAGAAAATGAACTATGGAAATGCATATGCTAGTGTTACTTATTATCCAATTTATAAGTGTATCAGTTGTTATCAGAAAAATATTTCCATCAGTTTTCAAATACAATCACTTATTCCTTCAAATGTGAGGTACCTGCCCACACTGTAGCAGTCCCTGGGCATGGAAGATACAAGACTGACCCTACTATCAGAGAAGGAACAGACAAAAATTAACTATAGAGTACAATATGAATATATTTAAGGCCACTGAACTGTACACTTAAAATGATTACAAAGGTAAAATTTATACTATATATTATTAAAATTAAAACAGATGTAAGCCAAATAAAGTAAAGATAGTGAAGTAAATAATAACCTTTTTAAAAAATTAACTGTAGAGAGTGAATGATGGACAGATAGAGACAGATGGACAAGATGCAACTGGAATGCAATGCAGAGTAATAAGAGCATAAATTTTGATATGAGAATAGGTTTGAGTCCTGACACCATCTCTTACTACATGTGTGTTAGCTTAGAAAGTGTCTTCACCTCTCTGAGCCAATTTCCTCATCTGTAGGTTGTTGTGAGGATTCAGTGAGATGATACAGTTAGGTCAGTATATCACTATCAGTGAGGGAGCAGAAGCAGCAACCATGGGGTCAGGGGCATATGGAAGGTATAAGCATTCACCAGACAAATAGGCCTATGTGAGAAAGCCACATGTAAAAGGGATAAACAGAGAGAAGAAACATAATGTCACCTGGCAATTTGATTTGACAGGAACCCTAGCTAGCACCATATCATAAAGGGTTTTAACTGCCACTCAGGGGAGATTAGGACTTTTTTCTATAGGCAACAGTCACCGAGGAAAGAAAATAAATGTATACACCTAGGAAGTTTGTCAATACCAGTCCAACTCTGACTACTTCAATACAGAGGCTCCAAATTTCAACCAGTAAACTAAAAGCACAGGGAACTAAAAAAGAGAGACAAAAAAGAGCTTTGTGGGTGTAGCCAACATACATATGACAAACCATCCACAGCAACTTAAATTCTAGGAACTCTTCCCATTTTCAAGGCCCTCCTCCAACTCCATCTTCCAGGCTCCTTTTGGTACAATGAATGGCTTGGATAGAGGCTGAAAAGGAATGGGGGAGAGGAGGTTGTTTTTGTTGTGGGTTTTGTTCCTTTGTTTTTGTTTTTTTGAGTAACAAACATTAACTAGCCAGATCAGGTTAACAGCCTGCAAGTTGTCCTGACCCAACCAGACACAGAAATACTTTTTCTTCCATTGGCTGAGCATTAAATTCACATCTGCCTCTTTCCTTTCTATCCAGTGAATGGGGTGCCACGTGGGCCATTAGCTTTTTCTTCTCACAGGCAACATGACAAACCATATCTCAGGAATCACAGAAAATGCTTTTCAATGCAGGATGATAGAACCACAAGTCCATACAGCAAAAGCTGGCTGGCAGAGCTTCAAGTCATATTTCCCTTTCCCCATCTACAAATGTTAAGGTCACATTTTTAAAAGTGCAACAAAAACAATGCCCTTTTCCTAATGTTATTTTCTTGACATAAAATCTTAGGGGCAAATAAAAGGAGTGAAGGGGGGGAAGCCAAGGATTCTCAATTATATAACCTATTGTGCCATATATTTGCTCAGCTTAAATGCCACTTACAAGAAGTGTCTACATTTCTATGGAAACATTAATAACTTCCATCTGATCAAACTACATCACCTTTCATACAGTTTTTCAGGCTTAGCCTTGAAACCAGACTGAAGCCAGAAAAGCCAACCCAAGATTATAATATATTTCAATTTTAAGACATTTTTAAAAAACAAAAACAGTACATAGCTTCAAGGCTATGACTACAGAATCAGAAGGTGAAAACTGTTTAGGAAGGCAGTTAGGTTTGATGAGTCAGAGGTCATTAGTGTTTCTATGGAAATAGAGTAGAGGCATTTCTCAGAAAATTGCATGTACTGATGCCTCTGACACTTTTCATTTACAATTTCTGGTTCTCTGGAGTAACAAAAGGGGTTGTTCATAATTCTTCATTCAGCCTGGAGGTTAAAGAAATTTCAAAATGCACACATACAAGAAAATGTATAAAATAATCTATCAGCTGCCATTTGTAAAATCCTTACTATATCCCAGGCATTGGTTTGACATTTTACATAAATCTTACTGAAAGTAGCTACCATTATACATGGTATTGTATTCTATTACACAGGAAAAAACATAAAACTCAGAACAAGGTAACTTCTATTTAGAGCAGTTTGGCTGATGAAGTCCCACCTTTGCACAACACATGCTTTGCAACAGCCAGATAGATGAGAATCTGAAGTTAACCCTGACAACACTCTCCCAACAATAGGGCCTCAGCGTCTACAAATACCACATCTTAGATGAGTCCATTTACAAACCTCCTCCTGTTAGCTCATCTTCAATACGTTAGCATGACATGCAGAAGTAAACAAATTCAATATTTGAAAAGCTACTTTTTGCAATCTTTATTTCCCTGACATCTCCTGAAACTTGAAAAGAGTAATATGTAAAATCCTATTTCCAAATTTTAACTCATTATACAGAGATAAAAATGTCTATGACAACTTTGATGTTAAAGCAATTTTCTAATATTGAGACATCAATTAATTAATATACTAGGGTGGCAAGTCGCCGAACATAGCTTTGCTCTACTACAGTCAAACCTTCATTTCTGCAAGTGCAAATACTATGCCATTTCATACAAGAAACTTGAACAGCCACAGATTTTGGTATCCAAAGGGGATCCTGGAACCAATCCCCCATGGATATTAAGGGACCACTATACTAATAAGCCATTTGTGTAATACTCTATGAGCTACTGTGCTCCATTTCCTCTTCAGTAAAAGAAGAAAGTCTGGTCAATTTTCTTAGAATTCTTTTCAGCTGGGAAGTCTATGAGTTTATCAAAAGTTGACAGTTGTGTGTCCTAGAGGTACAAATCATAATATTAGTACTTAAGGAACCCTTAAGATTCTTAGATTTTTTTTTTAACTAGAAGAAACCTTTTAGAGCACCCCTAATCTCTTTCCATTCCACCCTAACACTCATTTTACAGAAGGGAAAAATTGTGTAAAGGGAACATCTGCAGCATCTCTCTGTGCCTTAAATACTAATCATGGTCCTAAAGGCTTTGGCATTTTCGTAATCCAAAAATGGGAATAACAAATCGTACATACACATCACAGGACTGTTGAGAGGATTAAATGAAATTTTAAAAATTTAAAGCACTCAAGAGAGTACCTGGCACTCAGTAAATGTTCAATAAGGGTTAGCCATTATTATCATAGTTGGTGATGTCATTCTCATCTTCACCCTCCAAACCACAAGTATAAGTTTACTTAGGAAACAGAATTCTTGATTAAAAAATGTAGACCACTTTGTAGCCGCTCTAGAGAAGCTATTCCACTCTGCATAAGCACAGGGAATAGGACCTTTTATTAAGTCATCACTCAGTGCTACTAATCAGAGTTGGCTTCTTGATGAAGCTACAGCATTCATGTGAAAATTGACCTCTGGGTCAACTATTCATATCTCAGATCACTGGACCAATAAAATAAATGATCG